GTGATAATTGGNAAAATTGCCCCTCCCAGCGGTAGTTTGTTGAACCACTCCATGACGCAAATGATCACTGGGTCCAAGAATCATTTAGTCTGAGCAGACGCAATGAGCCGTTCTCTCTTCTCACCCGGAGCTGAAAACTCCATGACGAATATCGTCTTGCTCTTATGATGATTGAATATATATAGTAGTAGTACTATGAGTAGTAGTAGCAGAAGTTCATTTATGTAAATCACATTTCAGCAATAGAAGAAATCATAAGAGTTATATAAGAATCAGAAATATTCCCTCAATGGAATTTGACGCTCGTTTATGGGGTATATTCTTTATTGTGAACACTTAAAGCTATCGGCGCCTTCAAAGGTCAAAAAACCAATACAAATAGATAAAGCCGCTGCCAGCTAGTCCACGTGGACTGAAAAATTGGCGGTACGTATTGGATGACTTTCACTAACCGAGTTTTATGATTGGCTAAAGAGTCATGAAATTGAAGTTTGGAGTCATGTTACGGTGACGAATAGAATGCGAGCCGTCGTGTTGTCAATGTTCAGTTCAGGAACTGATCGTGATTTGAGTGTTAAAATTCGATATTGGTGCAGTTATAATTACTTAAAATTTTTGTTATCTGTTGAAAATGTGGCGTCCTTGGACAAGTACCTACTAATAGTAATAACGAGTGTGATAACAACGCTGACATTTTCCTGTGTAGTGATTCCAATAGCTCTGGTGAAGAATGCGAAAAAGAGATACCAATTAATAAGAATCGAATGCATTTGAATATTTAAACACAGAGAGTATGTTTCAATGTATATAAGAATATTCATCTCAAGTTTGGTTCTTTGAAATTATGTGGAAAAAACTTGAGGACTGCAATGTTGACTATCATAAAAACATGGAAGCTAATATTTTTAAGGAATGGTTTGAAAACACATCGATCCCAAATTTGGACGCGAATAGTGTAATAGTTCTCAACAGCGCTTTCTATCATTCGCGACAGCTCATCAAAGTACCGAATGAAAATTCGAGGAAAGAAGAAATAAAGTTTCTTAATGGATAACAATTTGTATTTTGAAGATAACTATACCAAAAACTAACTACTTGAAGTTTCACAGACAAAAACATTCGAAAAAGTGTATGCCCTTGAAAGTATTAAATTATGGACACACCATACTGAGACTTCCCCCTATATTTGTGTTTTCAATCCCATCGAGTTGATTTGGGGAAAATTGAAACAAAGCATCTGGCGTAATAATAATTTTTTTAAATTTGATGGAATATAAATGGTAGTGTATCATGATTTTAAGAAATATTGAGAGTTCTATGGAGCCAGTTTTATTAATCAGACTATGGAATAAAATATGAATTATTTTACTATTAAATTCAAATTTCAAATATTGAATTGTAGACAAGCGAGTAGGTGACAGNGGTCTTGAGATAAATAAACAACTACATCCCTTCATAAAACTCTGTTGTCTGCATAGGCTAAATTGAACGGTTCGCATCTGAAGGTCAAAACAATGACAATGTTCTGGAAAAAAGGAGTCTTTCATTGAAAGTAAAATACTGTATAAGTAAGCCAAAAACACGATTTGCACAAATATTTCGATTTAGGTTCTACTCACATCCTACTTCGAAGTTGATCCTGTACCGTACTTTGCTTCTACCCTGGGTAGGGATGCCACTCCTTTTCAAGGGTGAAAAATGTTTCATTAAAAATAAATCAGTTAATAAATATATTGTCTAATTCTGAGCCATTTTTGTGATTTGAAGTTTTATCTGAAAGTCAATACTTTTCAACTTATTTGCGATAGGTGCACAAAATGTCATATGTCACAGAATGTCTCGGAACTCGGAACATAAGTAAACAGAACAGCACGCCTCTGAAATATGTCTTCTTTGTTTGGTAACAGGTAACAGATTCATTGTCCTTTATTAGCTATAACCGATATTGCCAAATGGTGAAATAGAAACGAATCGCTTCAAATGTTGAATGCATTATTTCATTCCTCTTTTTTAAGTATTAAAATATTTTTTTAAAGAAAAAGATTGAAATGATGAGTTAAAATGCATTGTTTAAGAGGTCTTCAATGAAAATTACTTGATTTTCGTCAGGAGGAACATTCTCCATCGTATCAATTTGTATACCAGTTTGACTGATATTCTAAAATGTGCATTATAAAAAGCAATCCAATTTAATTGTATTTATGGCTCTGTACTTTTCATATAGTGTATCCGCAAAGTATGGAATAAATTCGATATTTCTAAAACTAAAGGTCGTTTTACAAAAACCTGAAACTCGTCAATTTTCAATTTTAATATTCTAAGTTTTACAACAAAATTTCATTACACAGGGTGATCCATATTAATGTGTATAGATAATTCGTAATGAGCTGATTCCGAAAAGATATGATACTTGGGGTCTAACGGACAGAATTTGAGAGATGTGTGCTTAGAAATCAAATTTTATTGATATCTAATGAAAGTAGAAATCAATTAATAATTTAATATTTTACGTTAGACCCCAAGTATCATACCTTTTCGGAATCAGCTCGTTACAGATTATCTTAAACTCACACCAAGTATAGGGTGTTGCATTTAAAAAAATTACCGATGACGTCATCACATTAATATGTATAATGCACCATGTATAATGATATTTTGTTGTAAAATGTAGAATATTAAAATTAAAAATCGACGTGTTTCAGGTTTTTGTAAAACGACCTTTGGTTTTGGAAATATCGAATTCATTCCATACTTTGCGGACACACTGTATAGTTACTACCACACAAGAGGTAGATACATGCTATCGCAGATTTTCATTTAGAACTATCAAAGATAAACAATCTTATCTGCATGTAACTCCAACGGTATAGGCAGCGCACTCCAAGATAGCTCTCAGGGAGCAAGAATTTATCCTCTCACTTAATACTCATCTTCACATTATGACCAAAATTACACTAAATATTTTTTAAGTTTTATTTTATATGTTATTTCGATGTACAAGCTGTATTCATAAACATTCTAAACCCTAAACCTAAAACGCCTAAACCCATTCAGTCGTTTAGGCGTGGAAGAGCCACAAACATACATACATACATTCATCGTCACAAACTTTCCCATTTATAGATAGTATATAGATAGATAATATCATAAAGAAATAATATTCATCGTCACGTTTCGTCTATTTTCCAGAGACAGTATTTTGATTTTTTCCCGAAGCTAAGTCGATCTCACTGTTCCATATGAATGGCCTACATGATGATTTTTGAAGTAAAGATACCTGAGGAATTCATACCTCTTTCAGAGTACATTGAGCAAACTATAGTTTTGGTCTTCCTAAGGAATGAAAGCATTTTAATAGTATTTATGTATGTGAAATAGGTTATTTGTTTCATTCTGTATCTGTATCTGTAGAGTAGGGAGGGTGAGTGTAAGCCCACAGCACCCAGGCCACATGTGACCCATTGTACATCCCCCTGAGAAGTTGTCCTTCTAGGTCATCGTCCATCCTGACCGTTCCAGGAAGGTGGACAGGTCACTGAGAGGTGTAGGCCAGGACATGCCTCACAGTCTCATCTTCCTGTTCACACATCCTGCATAGAGGTGTGTCTACTAGCCCCATATTATGAAGGTGTTTCCTTTGTTGACAGTGGCCAGTCAGAAATCCTACTATTAGGCGTAGATTTTTCCTGGTCATCGCCTGATATTTCTTCGGCGCCAGCTTCCCAGGGTCGCCCAAGGTGATCCTGGCAAGATTACATCCTTTGATTCCATCGCATCTCTTTGAGGATTGAGCATGGGTGTAACATTCGACTAGTTCCGCAATTGACGAAGTCATCAGGCCGTTGGTGCCACTGGGTCCTAAAATTCTTAGTCCAGCCGCTTCCTTGGCTAAAGAGTCGGCAATGCGATTACCTTTACTCCTGTCGTGCCCTTTAACCCACCTCAGGATAATGTTATTATCTACCGAGGCTTTGGCTGAATCTTGGTGACACTCTAGTACTAGCCCTGAGGTTATACGTTGCCTGTTCAAGGCTAATAGGGCTTGTCTGCTATCAGTGCAGATTGTTATGTTTTTACCAGAAATTATTTCCTTGGTTATTTCTTTTGTGGCGATTGAGATACCAACCAGGGTTTATTGAGCACAAACTTGGGTTCAATTGCATCACTGGTTGCCTGCGGCAGAGGTGGCGCAGTGTGCGCTTCTCGCCATAGTGTCAGTCTCAATTGACCCATTCCCATTCCGAGGTTTACACCAGCCGTGCGGTTGGTGTTGTTCTCATGGTTCCTGTGATGTTTAAACAAGCCAGTCGCTGTATTTGATATGATTTTTGGATGGCCGTTGCTTGTAGAACTTTCAGTTTCCATGCAATGGCTTCATATGTTAACATAGGTCTTATTATTGTAGTGTAGATCCAGGTGACCACACTAGGTGAAAGACCCCATGCGCGTCCCACTGTCCTCCGACATTGCTCATTAGCCACGTATGCTCTTTTTGCTCTACTCTGTAAATGAGAGTTCCATGTTAGCTTTCTGTTGAGGATAGTACTAAGCGTTTCAATGAAAAATGCTTCTCTTCAAAGGAAAACAATTAATTTCTCATACGGAGACATTTAAATAATGTTCCAAGTAAACATATCATTCCTTCAAAACCCAAAACAGTTCTGCTTTGAGATTAATTTTGCTCAGACTGAAGGATGCATACTTACTTCTCCTGAGCTAATATTATTATTCCTATTGAAATGTATGCACAATTTTGGTGGAATATTTTTTTTTCACTTAAAAAAAGCATTTATTCAGTCTATTTGAAATAATGATTCGAATTCAACTTGAGAGAATATGTTTCTCAGTTTAAAAGAATATTTCTTCATGAATATAGGAAAGCAAGGTTTCTTTAAATTGAGATATTGTTCTTCATTTTGAGATTTTTATTTTTACTATGCTGAAAATTTTTTCCAAAAAGTTTTTCAGAGGTGAAATATCACAGTAGTTATCATTTATACTTGACAGAAATAATATCCTGAACAAAACTTTCCAAACCAATTGCTTACCTTTGGAAGGGGTTTCTTCTTCCTGATATGCATCTGACTCATGGGAATCACATTTGGAACGTTAGCTCTAACTTTATGAAGAATACAGTTGACATTTACTAAAAACATACTGGTGTTTTTGATGACGTCTCCGAGATAAGGCACATCTTCACCCAAATACTTTCTCGTTACTTTATCAGCTTCGGGAAGAATATGCCAGTAGTATATTGCTCTGTACCAAATATGGAATAGCACGCTTTTGACTCTTTCAACGAATGACAATTCCTTGTCGAAGCCATTGTAAACTATTTCTGGAGAGATGATGGGGTGAGTAGGGTTTCCGACGGCATCGTGGAATTCAAGAAATATGTCGAAGGATGACACCCCTGAAAAAATAAGTACATATATTCGTGTCTGACTTTTGGAAGACAGGTGACCAAAGATCACTATCCAGAAATAACATTGAGTTCGTGATTACGTTTTTAAGGATTAGTTGTATTCCATTCACACTGATATCAATTAAACTTAAACAAAGATTTCTGGCTGCTGTTCTACCAAAGAGCATTAAATTTAATTTCGATGCGTTCACGTTGAGGCAATATTTACTTGATGAAGATATTAGAGTATCAAGAATTTCACTGGTTTGCTGTAGAGCATGGTTTAACAGATTCTCTTCGAACTCTAGGTATAACTGATAAGATTCGTCAGCACAACTGTGTGTAGTTAAATATCTCAGAGTCTTATGTAATTGGGTAGTATATAAGACCAATTATGAAGGTCCCAGTATTGAACCCTGAGGACCACCAAGTTTGACTTCAATAGATTTATATTCATTATTGTTTGAGACAACCCATGCGGAACGTCTGTGGAAATAGTTCTCAAGTATTGTTACACCATCAAACCCACATAATTAAAAGCGAGTTAAAATTGATTAATGAAATGATTGCGGAAATTATGTAATTATTGTCTTGGATAGTGTTGATGATTTTCATCAAGTAACGAGTCAGTCCATTCATAATAAAGAAGTTCACATATTGTATATAAAATATGGAAAAAGTATGTTATTTTCAACATGGAAGTGTCCTATTCTCTTCTGAACATTCTCTAAACGTTACTTTCCTGGCTACGCTTATCGAAACAACATAACTACTGATATATTTCTCCACTTACCTACAACAGGCGCTCGGAATTTAGCCGCAAACAGATATGTCAAGGGGTGTATCGCCGGTGCCAGAAGTACGTCGAAGTGACTTTCGTCATATGTCAGAAGTTTCGCGACATTCTTCTGTTGTAGTTCTGCGTCTACTAGGGCTAAAATTGTTTCGTGGAGAAACATAACTTTAAAATAGGTCGAAAACCCTTTACCCATTTGAACAGTCATGTTCCTTCGAGCCAGTATATCGTAGACGAAGCGGACGTCAATTTCAGTTAAGTTTTTCAAGGTCGGATCATTCAATGGATTTGGAGTTATCGCTGTGACCTCATGACCCCGAAGAGAGAGTTCTCTCGAAAGGGCTTGGAAGGGACTCTGATGACTGATAGCGGGATACGGGAAGAAGCCCAAGATCTTTGCAGAATCTCCAAACCAGAAACAAAGCAGGAAGTACAGCCATGTCGTAGACATCATCACACGCGAGGACAGACTATGCGTGTTACAATGTTTCGAAATATATGGTTATTGCTATTCATTATCAGAAAGCTAATCACTCGTGAACTAAATGTTTTGAGAACTTGAATACTGAGCGGTTAAATAAATTTCACATTATTCTTTGAAATTTGACAAGGAATAAGAGTTGTTTTGATATACTTGTTTTCGAAAATTACTTTCATCCTTTGTTCTGAGTATGAATCTGTTTGATACTACTACAACCTTGTGATAAAAAACAGTGAACCCGATAGTGCTATTAGTCTCTATTGTATATGTATCGTTTATTTAGCACAAGCTAATGCAGTTACAAATTTGATGACAAACCAGTTTCGAGTGGATGAGAATAAAAAAAATTAATATGAGTTCAGTTGAAAAAATATTAACCTGTTATAATATTTCCAATACCAATTGGAACAGCACAGAGAAGGAATTCCTGCCTCGACATAGGCGTCGGCATATTAATTTTCAGTGGTAGTTTTTTAGTTACTTATTCTTCATAGGTATTTTAGCTCCTTGAATATGCTCCATATTTCCAAAAACAATATAGGAAAGATATCAGATAAGATAGGAAACATTTATAATGCGTTTTCATTGTATCCGTTAAAATTTTTCGAAAGATAAGGTGTCATATTTTAATATATTTATGTTTGTCATCTCCAATGAGAGGTAGTTGTGTAGTATTTGACTCACCTATTATGGGTGCTCTGAACTTAGCTCCGGTAAAATACATCAACGGGTGCAGAGATTGCACAAGAATGACATCAAAGTGGTTTTCATCTAGTGCCATCAGCTCTAAAACGCTCTTCTGTTGAATTTCGGCTTCAGTGATGCTGATCAACATGTCGTGGATAAAAAAAACTTTAAATAGAGGAGAAGTACTCGTTCCCATGATACCGGAAAAATTTTTTTTAGACAGCACTTCATAAGCCGAACGGACATCAATTTCTTTTAGGTTTTTCAGACTCGTATCACTCAAAGGATTTGGAGTAATCACTGTGACTTCGTGTCCGCGAAGAGACAGTTCTTTCCAAATGGATTGGAAAATGATCTGATGACTCACAGAGGGAAACGAGAAAAATCCGAGGATTTTGGCAGAGTCGGCGTACCGAAAACACAAGAGAACATATAGCCACAGTGTAGACATTGCGATATAAGGATAGAAACTAATTTTGCCTTGATTTTTGTACGTATCTTAGCAAACACGAGGTCAATGCAGTGAATGATAAGATTGTTAATCATATTCATGATATAAATCTCGTGTCGATGTTTTGATGACAAACCAGTTTCGAGTGGATGAGAATAAAAAAAATTAATATGAGTTCAGTTGAAAAAATATTAACCTGTTATAATATTTTCAATACCAATTGGAACAGCACAGAGAAGGAATTCCTGCCTCGACATAGGCGTCGGCATATTATTTTTCAGTGGTAGTTTTTCAGTTACTCAATCTTACAATCACAGCAATTGATCACCCCATGAAAAAGTTATCTCAACTGAATTTTTCCACAATGGTTGATTATAAAAAAACTTCGAAATTTAAGGTAGTTGATTTCCGAGTCGAAAACTCTAAAATACAATGAAAACACAAATAATCACACCAAATTCTCGTCAAACATATATTTACAACATAATAGAGGCCAACAAAATTGCTAGAAAAATCGAAATTCTTCTTCGCTTTATTCGAATGAGGTGGAATAATCATCGTGTTGAATAACAATCGGATTTATGGAACTTTGCACATAATATTTGTTCTCTTCTTTCATAACGTGGGCCACACAGGTCTTCCACACATCACTATTACCTACTTCATTCACCACTCGCTTTATATTGTCAAGCACTACAGCATTCAAAGTCGGTGACTGATTACATTTCCGGAAGCTTTCTTTTATTGTGGCCATTTCAATTGGATTGAACACACAATAGCATGGAGGCAAACATAAGAGAATATGACCACGTGTTTCACACATCGAATCAATAATATACTCTTCTTTGAAATTACGTTGTTTTATGGTCGCCAGTAATACCTTTTTCGTTGGAATCTTTTCGGGTATTTCCATGTCATGATTTCGCACGAATTCAACAATATCTGCTTTTTTAAACTTCATTTATTTCTTTTGGTGAGTTGAAAAATATTTTATACTAGATTTCTCTGTTATGTGGTTAAGTTATTTTGAATGATTTCAACGTAAGATCAATTCTATAACTTGAGTGTATACTTGGATACAATCTAAACCTGAAATGGCGTGATTGGAAACTTGCTTGGCTGAACAAGAAACTAGTCCATCTGTCCCCAACAATTGGGATAGATGGACTAGATGGAATTTGGGATAGTTGGCCCACTCGAAAACTTGACTTTCTGCATAAATGAAGTACAAAATACTTATGAAAAAATTATTTCAAATATAAAGGTGTATCCTGATGAGTTGGGACTTTTTTCTGTTACAGAAAAATGCCTACTTTTTATAAAAGAAAGGCACGTCGGAAAAAAGGAGAATGTTCTGAAGATAATTTGAAAAGAGCAGTCAAAGCTGTTGAGAACAAAAAAATGGAAGTTAATGCTGCTGCGAAAGAGTTTGGCATCCCGAAAACTACTTCTAAGAGGCGTCCTTGATCTCAGAGTTTCATTGAAGGTTCGATGGGGAAAAACTCATTTTTGGGGATCGAAAACGAAAAAAAAACCGTTGGACTTATTGAAAAATTGAAATCAACGGGGTGTACTCCAAATAGAGATTCAGTACGTTCCATTGCTTATTATTTAGCAGAAAGCCTACAATTGAAGCATATTTTTAATCAAGAAACAAAACAAGCAGGCTACGACTGGCTCTCTTCTTCTCTTGTACGTAATCCTGAGCTTTCCATTCGGCAATCTGAAGGGGTATCTATTACAAGAGCAAAGAGCCTGAATAGAACAGTTGTTAAAGACTACTTTGACCTCTCAAAGAACGTTCTGGAAAAAAACAATCTCATAGATAAACCTGGACACATTTTCAACATGGATGAAACAGGTCTACAACTTAACAACAAACCTGGAAAAGTAGTTGCCTTGAAAGGTTCTAAGAATGTGACATCTGTTACTTCGGGAGAAAAGGGTGAAACTATCTCAGTATTGACATGTGTGAATAAAGAGGGTACGTTCTTACCACCTTTTTGCATAATGATAGGGAAAAATTCAAAACCGGAGTTTAGTGACGGTTTGCCACCTGGAGCTGAAGTGAAAATGTCTCCAAGGTCGGGTTATGTAAATGCTGAATTATTTTTTGATTGGATGAAAACTCATTTTACTCCAAGAAAACCAATAGGACAGCTACTCCTCCTGCTAGATGGACACACATCGCATACTAGCAGCACTGAAATGTTGGAGTTCGCAGGAAATACTGAAATAATTTTGATGTGCATTCCTCCCCACACCAGCTTGGCTTGCGCCATTAGATCGTGCTTTTTTAAGTCTCTATTAATGAACTACTATTCTGCTTGCTCCAATTACATGACCAATAATACCTCGAGGAAGATTACCCGGCTGCAGTGCGGCACACTTCTTAGCTTAGCTTGGGGGAAGTCAGCAAACGTAGATAATGGAATTAGTGGCTTTAGAACGTGTGGAGTCATTCCTTTTCAACCCGATGCAATACCAGACTACGCTTTTCTGTCAGAACCTACAGATTCCCTGCCTCTAGATACATCTCTTTTTTTCCAAAATGAGATAACCAACGTTGCTGGTCCTAATAGTTCAAGGAATGATGACGCTGTTACTGGTCCTAGTAGCTCAAGAAATGATGCTGCTACAGCTGTTCCTAGCAGCTCAAGAAACAATAGTAATGCTGATACTTCAAGAAGCTATGAAGATGTTCCTGTGCCTAAATCCTCTGAACAATATGAGGATATATCTGAAAACGAAACCTCCTCAAAGTTATTGGACAAAATACATCCAGTGCCTTATGTCAATAATGTTCAGAATCTGAGAAGGAAGTTTCAAGCTATATCAAAGGTTTCAATCTCTCCGGAAAGCATAAGTGCCCTCAAAATAAAAAGATGGAAAATAGTTGAAGATTACGATAAAAGAAGAAAGAAGGAGAAGAAAAGAAGAAAGAGAGGGAGGAAAAGAAATAATGGAGGGAGAAAAAGAAGTTAGACGGAGAAAGTGTGAACAAGAAGCAAACGACATTTAGTAATAAAAGGAAAAGAACACAAAAGAAGAAAGAACTTACGTCATCCTCAGAGTCTGACGATGTTGATATTAATACAATTTGCAACGATAATATGACTGAAAATGACTGAGAAGAAGATTATTGTGTATGGTGTAAAAAGAACTACAATGAAACAAAACAAAATGAAGATTGGATTCAGTGTGTGACCTGCTCTCGCTGGACACATGAAGGCTGCACAAGATTCGAAAATCAATGTGATTACTGTGGGAAGCGAGATTCTCGAAAGGATATGACTGCAAAATGATTAAATTTTCTGAACCATAATTAGATCAAACTTCCTATAATTTCAATCTTTTTTCAAATAGTCTATAAATCTGTAAATATCACTTTTCGAGAAGTTTATAGCTTTATACTTTAAAATAAATATTGTTTATTCCTTTGATAACATGTATACTACTCTGTAAATGACAGTTCCATGTTAGCTTTCTGTTGAGGATAGTACTTTAGTATATCACCTCTTCAGAGAAGTTTAGTTTGCTTTTGAATATTTCGGGAGGTTTTAAGTCCGTTAAACTTCTTTTCCTGGTGAAAAGGACCATCTCAGTCTCCTTGGGATTGATCGACAGTGAGTGACCATGTTTCCATGAATTTGAGCCCATCCTGCGCTCTATCGCACAGTGTGTTTACAAATTTGCCGGTCTGCAAGATAACTATGTCATCTGCGTATGCAATTGTGTAGAATCCATCTTTGTTAAGGTGATCAAGAGGGTATCCAGAACTATGTTCCAGAGAAGGGGTGATAAGATCCCTCCCTGTGGACATCCCCTCATGACCAGTCCTTTCACTGTGATGTCTTCTACATTAATACTTATTGCTCTACTACATTCCTAGAGTGTAGATGCTGGGTGATTGTTGGGAAAGTTGTTTTATCAAACGCTCCTTTGATATCTATGAATATGTTTGTTTCATTATAAATATGATTTCCCGTCCATTTTCCCATTCCCATTGGGAAAAATTATAGGTTCTTTCTGACGAGTTATTCATATTTTACATCACTTTTCTAAACTGAAGTGGAGTTTATTCGTGCAGCTCCATTCATGAATTTTATTCAGTTTTTTCTGCAATAACACCCAATCTCTGATTGTTTGTATCTGCTCGAATATCTCAAGATCATCCGTAGAAAGTAAACATTACGAGAACTTCAAGATAGACGGCAGATCATTATTGAATATAACTAAAGAAAAGGCCTAGATTAGGGCCTTGTGACACTCCAGAGCTAGTAAGAAATTTACCAGATGTGTTAACACTATGTCTCACTGTGAGAAATACCGGGTGTCCCACATTTTATGTGACAGGCAATATCTGGTTTGCTGGAGGAGATACACAAAAATGTTTCATACAAAAGTTTTAGTAGTTCATGAGAGCTATATTTTGATATAATTTTTAAATATACAGGGTGTTTGGTGTAGGTGCTACAGACCAAAATTCCATTTTTTAAAATAGAACGCCCTGTATATCATTACATATTCNGGAGTTTTCGCACAAAGAACACAGTTACTGTTTTGCAAAGAATCACTGAATCGAACTGACAAGTAGATACAATTCAACAACATTTGTTACTATGGCATCAACAAGCATAAGCTACTTGATGAAATTGTGCAATATTTATTTCTCGTCATATTTATTTCTCGTGGTATGCAACCCACTATATAGGTAGTTCAATGTTGAAATATATATCATGAAAACTATACCCCAACGATAATATAATTTGGATGAAATTCAAGCCAGATTGTAGTTGATTGCATACTTATAAGGAAGTGAGTGACCATGAAAAACATTACGTGGCGGAATTTTGGCAGGTAATCAACCCTTTACAGAATGGTCCAACTTTTTACGTTAATTGAAGTTGGGTTTAGAAAAATAAAATGAGAAGCAGATGGATTCCAGAACGTTAATTGACTAGACGTAAATTTTTTTGAGTCTTGAATAAACGAAATAATGCGCCGAAACCGTCACCCTAGCCGGGATTTAAGGTTTTTTTTCTATAAATATTTACGTAACCGGCAGCAATCTCAACCCAGTGTGGCTAGTTTTCTCTCTATCACCAAGTTTATCACTCTTAACCCGGGGCCGCACTGCAGGATGCTAGATGGTCACTTGGAAGGTGGATGGTGAAGGTGGATGGTGGAGGGACGCAGTGAAATGAAGCCAATATCCAACTGACAGCGGAAAAGTAACAATCATGCCTGTGTTTAAAGTTGCGAAAAAAATTTTACTAAGTTCACATTTGAGAATTATAGTGGCAAATAGTGTTATAAAAAAACCGTGAATGCATACTTACAATTTGAGGCGTCAACAGAACGGAGAATTAGTTAGAGTCTACAAAAAAATTACGACAACACCCTGACAAATTTCATTTGTATTCAAGAATGTCAGTTGATGCATTCGACCTACTTTTGAAGTTGACTGAATGCAAATCGCAAAGAACTTCAAACGAACTTCAGAGAAGCTATATCAGCAGTGTCGTCAAAGTTTTTTAATTTTTTCCTAATGGGTCTGCTGGGTCCCAAATTGCCCTTCTTTTGTACACAGAACTAATTACGCATTCCTCCCCAGCTAGGCTACCCGGCTAGAATATCAAACACAGCTGATTAGGTTGGATAGACGCCTGGCGTACCTTCGGATGGTTTCTGGAGGTTGAATGGTAGTGGGGGGCCACTGCGGCCACCGTCTTTCTGTTACTCACGTTTATAAATAGCAGGATGTTCGCCAGGCAGCTATCTACCATCCACCATCCTACCAACCTTCCTGCAGTGCGGCCCTAGCTTTAAGACGCTATGCCCGATCTGTCACTGTCAAGAGATACGCCCCCTGCTCGCCAAGAAGAAAGGCACGTCAGGTGGGGTAAATTCATTGGTGATAACTATGTAAACGTAAGTAGCGATGATGCGTACAATAATTTTGTCTATTCTATTTGCATGTGTTGCAATTGAATTTCGGAAAGAAACCGGAGAGTTGGGTCAACAGTAGACTTGACGTAGATCCGACGGACTTCACCTAAGAGGAGTAAGTAACCCTAACAGCATACAACCTCTTTGAAACGTCCATTTAGGTGCATTTATGTCCATTTCTCGTCCGTGGACTATAAGTGTACGTCACGTGGATGTCAAATATCGGACATTGGCAGGAGTAACGCCACAAACGTTCGTGATGTACATGACAGTGACTAATCACAGAATAACAAAACAAAAGTTCATGCTTTTTCGGTTTCTCTCTCTCTCTCACTCTGACACTCAAGAAATATGGAGGCAAACCGCGGACACGTGTTTCTGGCTATTGGCCTCATCAGCGCGGTGCAGCCAATTGCAAAGGTGGACAACAACTGGTTACACAACGCCAGAACCACAGTGAACAATGACTGCATGAAGTGGTCTGCTAGATTGAAGTGTTCATCTATTTCGAACCTTTGTAAGAGTTTGGTGCTTCCGTCAGAGGTTGAGTCATGTTTGAAATTGAATGTAATGAATTCGATACAAAATACTATGGTTAATACTTGAAGATATATAAAAATAAGATATAAGGAACACTTAGCATACCTAACATATGGAAAATCATAATAATCAGCAGTCGCCCATCATATTTCGCAACAAAAACAATCCATAGACTTTAGTTCGTTAAGATCAGTTAGTCAAGGCATCTAGATGCCTATGAGAGTGTAGAAATAAGTAAACATAATAATACAATGAATAACGATGCTAGACCAATACCTAATATTTTACTGTATCTTGTTGGAATATTTTATTTATCAGATTTATCTGACTATTAGGGCAACATCGTAAAACTAATTGAAGACAATTAAAACGCAGGTACCTAGGAATCTATGGTATAAATAAGGACAATATTTTATGTAATTTAGTTTAATCTTACTCTTTAAGATGATCAGTTGGTGATTGAAACACGTGTCGAGACGTTGAAAATAACGAATTGGGGTTGGGATAAAACTCCAGTGATATTCTTTCTACTCTGTTGTCATTAGAATTTTGTATCTTGTTTATTTTTTTCGTTGTATTATATTTTCATTTCAGGTTTCATTGCTCAATAAAATTGATATTTCAGCTTTTTATTCTGATTTCGTTTGTCCTTTCATAGATTTGGAATCATAGTGAAATCATATTAGGCAATGGAAGTCCCAACTAATGAAATTCGACAGTTACCTTATTATACTTCCACCAAAATATCTCGATAATACTGTCGATCTGAATTTTGTTCAAGTTTGACTCACCTACAATGGGCGCTCTAAATTTAGTTCCTAATAAATACGTTATTGGGTGCGAAGCCTGCACCAGAAGCATGTCAAAGTGATTTTCGTCGTATGTCGAAAGTTTAAGGACATCTTTGTGTTGTATTTCTGTTTCTATCAATTCCATCAGAGTTTCGTGAAAAAGGATAACTTTGAAGTATGGCGAAAACTCTTTTCCAAATTTACTGATGATACCTCTTCGGGCGATTACATCTTGTGCGAAGCGGACATCAATTTCTGTGAGGTTTGTTAAACTCGAATCGTTCAATAGATTCGTGGTGATCACTGTTACTTCATGTCCTTGAAGGGAGAGTTCTTTCCAGATAGCTTGAAAGATGCTCTGATGACTGACAGCGGGAAACGGAAAATATCCCAGGATCTTAGCACCATCGCCGAAATGGAACCCGAGAAGTAAGTACAGCCACAAAGTAGACATCGCAATACGTGGGGACACACTATTTTTGTCAGGGATCAGTACAGTATTACAAATATTCCTAACGATATGTTGATTAGTATTTCGAATGATAAGGCTAATTGCGAACTGATTGTTCTAGAAAACCAAATACCGCGTGATTGAATAAAATCGCTATTTACAAACGTCTCTGTTGATTTTTGAACATGATATTAGATTTGAATACAACCTGAAAAAATTGTAGAGTGTCTCATTATTTTCTGAAGAATAAA